GATTCAAATGGACATTTCAGATGGCAAACTAGGCTAGTATAGCTCCTCCCCCAATGGCTGCCATGGAGACCTGAGACTGAGTCTGTGAAGTGGCAGGATTCTGCTGAGATACATGCAGCTGATTCAGAGTGACCCCAATTGAAATCCTTTCCCCTGAAGTGTGGCTTCTCACTGACCCAATGGGGCTAATTGCACCCCGTCCTAGTACCTGTTTGTTCTCTCCAAGCAAGATAAGCAGTGCCTCCTCCTTTTATAGCCCTGCTTGAGCCATCACACCAGATGTTTGGCACTATATCTCTAGATATCTTCAAAGGATACCCTGATCACCTTCTACCCACATTTGAAATCAATAAATACCTGATGTCCTTGGGGCCCTTTGTCTTTGTTGCCCAGAGCAGCATAGATCAGCACCAAGACCCAGCTTTCTCTAAGTCTTGTTTTCTGTCCTTAGTCTTATTAGCTCTGTGTTGTAGGAGACCAAGACCCACTGCAGGAGTCTTTGGTAACTTCTCTTTCCTGTTCTCTATAGGAGATCATGCAGGAAACACTTAGCTCAGAGCCCAAAACACAGAAGGCATCTGATAAATTGCAGCTTGTATCATTGTATGGAGGAGGATGTAATTTCTGCCTCAAAGAATCTCAGAAATCTGAGGACACGGTTATGGTGCAGATGCCCATGTGCAAATACTGGGTCCATTGTGCACTAAGTGACATTAGACCAGTCTCATCATCTCAGAGAACCTCTGTTTCCCATCTGAACAACTTCCAGCAGGCACAGGGAGCCCAAAGTCAATGATTAAAAATAAGCTGACTGAGAAAGGTTTGCTGTATGAACTGCTGGACTACAGTGAGCAGAGCTCCACACCAGGAATTAGGACCCAGATCCTGTCCCCACTTAGCCTCTGGCACTGAATGTCTGCAGAGCATCTTGTCAGCCCTGTGGTTCAGTTTCCTTGTTGGACAAACAAAGGCTCAGTCTTCCTAAGGGGCTTTGGAACTTCTTCTCAGCCACAGAGCCCCTTTTGCCCAAGACAAAATGTAATGTGGGGCAGAAACTCAACTAATGAGGCAACAAAGAGCTGAGTGGCTATGGCTCAAGCCAGGACAGGGTGAGAGTGAGGATTCATGCCCTGTGCCTTTGGCCCCTTTGCCCTACCAAGCCTGGGCATCCTCCAAGGTGCCTTGGTGCCAATGGCAGGAGGAGAGGAGGTACAGGGTTTTGAGCAGTCAAGAGCGCTGGCTCTGGAGATAGCAGCCTGGATCCAGACCAAATCTAATCTCTCTGAGCCTCTGTTTCCATTTCTGCAAATGGACTGATAATGGGCAGACATTGTTTTGGAGATTCAAAGCACCCTTGTGTGTGACAGGTTCCAGAATAGTCAGGCAAATCGAAGGTGAACTGCAATGGGACAGCTACAAATGCCTGTGGATCTCCCACATGGGCCACACTGTCACAGCAACCCAGAGAGTGGGTGACGTTGACTCATTTTTCTGATAAGGAAGCTGAGGCACAGAGAAGGGAAGCAAGTTGTCCAGACTTACAAAGTTCCACGCAGCAAGCTGTGGTGCAAAGTCAGGCGGTGTTAGCAAATGTTGTTATTGTTGTTGTTGTTGTTAGTCCTTAGCAGAAAATAGGTCCCTGAATAGGCCTGACCTAAGCATCTTTATCACTTTATTAACTGAAAGGAAGTTTTGGAACTGGATAAACTCCCACTCAGTAATACTTGCTGTGTCCCATGAGTACCAGGGAGGGGCCGGCTACATGCCAGCTGGCCAGGGCAGTACTCAGGGCCACCCTCGTTCCTTCCAGCCAACATCCTTGGGGACACAGAGGTTTCCAGGGAACAGATTTGGGAATGTAGGTGGGTTCCCTGCCATCCAAACACAAGGGGAGCACTGTCCACACAGGCTCTCTGCCCTCCAGTCCTACTGCCAAGGAAAGGATCCTAGATATGCACTCTTATGAAGTTCTGCGTGTCCTTGGGTATGTCCCGCCCTGACTCCTGGCCTATTTCTCCATCTGTCAAATAGATGTCTAAACTCAGTGGTTCTAAAGGCCCAGTGTTCATCTGTCTTTTCATCCATCCATTTTCCCTCTGTTCCTCCCTCCACTATTTCATGAATACCTACTATGTGCCAGGCTCTTTTCTAGACTTTATGTGCATAAGAGTGAAAATAAGAAACAAAATCTCTCACTTGACTTTATTTCATTAAACAAAATTAAGGGATAATCACAGTCCTGTAGGAACATTTTAGCAAGATAGATGGGGATGTAAACTTCCCCAAGACACTGTCTTATATACTAAAGACTATATGGGACCCACACAGTGCCTGCTTCATATTGAATGTGTCCTGTGTGTCAAATGAGTGAACAAACAGGGCTTATTGTGTTGCAGCAAAATTTGAAGCTAAGGTTTCTGAGTCTCAAAAAAATGTTCTAAACAGTGCGACCTACTTAGGCTGAAACTGGGGAGACTTATCTACTGGATTTACAGGGAGGGTATCAGCTCCCTTAGCAGGTCTCCATCTCCATCCCTGTACCTCCCCAGCCTATTGGAGTCATTGTGGGAAACACAATTTAATGAAATTGTCCAGCAGGGTCTCCAGCTGGACAGGGCATTTCCCCAGCTCCTTCATCAGGGTCTTCAATGTCTAGAAGGGACCTGAAGGGCAGGGAAAGGGACGCATCATCCTCTGTTTGAACAACACTGGTTGTCTGCCCTGTGTCCACTGAGAATGAGGAGAAAATCAGTGACAGATGCAGAGGGGTGGGGTCGGTCCTGGGATGGCCTGCACTGCTGCAGCTAGGTCAGTCACTTGTCCCAGTGGAGAGGAGACTATATAGCTAAACTGAGGTTTATTGAAGTGGTAGATTTTCAATTCAAAGGGGTGGTAGGCTTGGGACACCTCCATTAAATGACCTGGAGCACCTACAGGGCACAGACAGAGGCACCACATCTGGCACCTGACCCTTCTCTGATTTTCTCAATTTAATGGGTTTGAGCATCAGAGACCACAGCAGCACCAGGGAAGTGAGTGACAGCTCTCTTTATCCCCATCCCTACTTCCCCCACACAGGGATGTTACCATTTGGATAGGCGTCCCCCCCAGGGTGCACCTATCAAAGGCTTGGCCCCCTCCTGGGAGCTGGAACCCTGAGGCAGTGGGGGGCCTAGTGCAGGGGCCTAGGTCACTGGGCTGCTCCACAAAGGACACTGAGACCTTGAACTTTTTCTCTTTCTTTTGCTTCCTAGCCATGAATGAAGCTATGTTGTTCTGCCAAAGGTTCTCTGCCATTGCCATCCAGAAGCCTCATCAGTTGCCCAAAGTATTGGTCCACCCAATTTGGACCACAAATTACAGAGTTGTGAGTTAAATACAACTTTGCTTTTTAAGTTTATCATCTCAGGTATTCTGTTATAGTGACAGAAAAACAATCACTAATGGAAGAGATAAAAATCACAGGAGGAGGAGAGGAGGAAGTGTGATCTGTGTGAGGAAGTGCCCTCCATGAGGCAGGTCATAGAGTCAGGATCCAAGTCCATGGTCAGGAAGGACAGCACTTTGAATCAGGGCTGTGCTTTTTAATACCTGAAAGTTACCAGAAAGACCTGAGATGTGCCCACATTCTTAAGGGTTGGATTTTAGAGATAAAACAGAATTGGAGGGGGAAAAGAAGCACATATCATAATTGTAACTTTCTGTTAGATGTTCTGTCTGATTTCTAAGTCTGTTACACATAAAGTAGGTCATGGATAACCACCTGTGAAATACAAAGAGCTCCTACAAAACAAATGAGAAAAAGAGGAACAAAGAGGGGAGTGAAAAAAGATATTATAAATAATTTTTTAAAAGAATGACAAATAAACCAATAAATGCATGAAATGCTGAAGAGTAAAGCAGAATTACTGTAGATGAGACAAAAAGGCCTGGAATCAGATATTTCTCAAATGCCAGCTCTTCACTCTCCAGCATAATTTCCTGACCTCTGTCGATATGGAAAATGAAGCAGTCACACACCCACTGGAAAACTGTCCTTTCACAAATGTTTATTGGGGGCTTACTGTTGCCTGCCCTCCTCATCTGTGGATTTTGCCTTAAAATGCCTGAAAGAATATATGTTTGCACAGAATGTGTGTAGCCTTTTTTCTTAGGCTCAGTCCCTCAACAATACAGTCTGACTATGTACATAAATTTTACTTGTATTAGGTAATATAAGGGCCTTGGAGATGCTTTCAAGTAGGCAGAGGGTGTGGGTAATAGCACACCATTTCCTACAAGAGACTTCAGCATCTGCAAGCTTTGTTATCCACTGGGTTACTGGAACCAGTTTCCTGAGAACATCAGTAACCACTGTTCTATTCAGGCCCTGGAGAGACATCAACAAACAAGACGGCCCACTGCCCTGGAGGGCTTTCATCTTAAAGGTACTGTAGATTGAGGATTCTGGTTCACTCAGGCCTGTGAGGAGGGGCTTGGGTGAGGGGAGGAGGAAGGCAAAGTATGTCCCAAATGTCATGCTGCCTGGGTGTTTCTAGCCTGCTGTGTGCAGAGGGCTTGACCTCAGGCCCCATAGGAATTTTTCCAAAAATGGCTGTCATGTCATTTATCAAGTGTCCACCACACACACACACACACACACACACACACACACACACACACACAACCCCACCAACACATCCCCATTGTCATGCTGCCTGGGTGTTTCTAGCCTGCTGTGTGCAGAGGGCTTGACCTCAGGCCCCATAGGAATTTTTCCAAAAATGGCTGTCATGTCATTTATCAAGTGTCCACCACACACACACACACACACACACACACACACTACCACCACCACCCATCCATCCATTATCATTACCATCCCTTTGAAGTCCACTTTCACAGCGGAGTAAACAGAGGCTCAGAAGGGTAAGGGTCACTATGCCACAGACACTCACGCCATTCACAGGATCAGGGCTCTCCTCCAAATGACCTTCTTTGAGAACTCAGGCCAGTCAAAGACATTCAGAGAGAGTCAGGCCCATATGTTTTATACAATAGAAAAGAGAATCTCCTCTGATGCAGGATGATTACCACTAATTGAGAATCTAGTGCCTTGGGATGTCACCTACATAGTCCTTTTGACCTTCAGGACCCTGTGTATTGCAGATGCTATTGCTGGTCTTGTGCTGATAAACGACATTGATTGGCCTCCGCCCAGTGCTTGTTAGTTGATCAAGGGCCGGATCATCATGCGGGTGGCACGCAGTGAATATGTGGGGCCACGGGAACTGTGCCAGCGGATGCCATTAATCTTGTGCAAGTGCTGGCCGGCTGGGTAGTAGATGCCATTGAGGTTGGAGGCACCACAGGCATTAAACCACCACCCTGTGGAAGAGAGGGACATGACGATCATTAGGACCAGTGACTCCTTGGGGTATCAACTGGCTGGAGAGGTAGTCAGTGCAAAACATACTCTCTGCTCAGCCAGACACTCTAGAGGGCAGTGGGAGCCTCTGGCCACCACTCCAGTCCCCTCTGTGACCTGTGTACCTCACTTGCTGAACTTATGACTCCTCATGGTTTCATATCACCTTCTGTGGGTATCTGGTGGCCTCTGTCTTTATCCATGAGCCACTCTTTTGGTGGTCTCCTTATTGTGTCACACTGTGTGCCTCTCTGTGGCTGAAGTCATCCCTGTCGGCTGTCTCTGTCTGGTCTCTATCACCTTATCTCTTCCAGATCACTGTCCCCATGTACCCAGTCCTCCCCTGGCTGTGCTGAGGGCTGCCCTTCCTCTCCAGCTCTCCCTCTGCCTTCCCCATCCCAGTGCAGCTCTGTCTCCACTGCTCTCATTTCTGTCAGCCTCTGTCTCTCTCTGCCCCCATCTGTACCTTTCTCTGTGGCTCAAGTTTCTCCGGTCTCTGTCCTTCCCGCTCTGTCTTTGACTAATCCCATCTCCCATTCTCTGACCTCTGTCCCAGTCCAGGAGCACTGACTGAGCCAGAGTTGGTATGGAGTTGTCCCATGACATGCCTGGGTTAGGAGGAGGAGTGTCTTGAAGAGGACCTTAGGGCCCAGCAGGGAAGGTAGAGCTGACTCTAACTCACCTCCAGACATTGTCTTCGAGCACTCACAAAGGCAATTGTCATGGTCTGCGTCACTGGTGCTGAAGTTGTTGTTCCCAAGAATCGGCTGGCCCCGGACCAATGCCACACCACTGTGCTTGTCCAGAAAAATCCTGTAGATGCCCCAGAGGTGGTGATAGAAGAGGTTAACAGAGTCATATTGGGGTCATGTTGAGGAAGGGTCCCTCTTGGGGGCTTTGCCCAGGCTGAGGCTCCCTCCTGCTGTCTTTGGAGGGGGAGCCTCAACCTGGGTGTGATTCCTGGGCTATTTCCTCAGTATCCTCCTGCTGCCTCTCAGGAACAAAGTACCTACTGTGCACTGAGCCCTCCTCATCTCAACAGTTGGGTTTTGCAGGTAGCAATGACCATAACAAGGACAATGGCTGACAGTTTTTGAGCCTCTCCCAGGGGGCAGGCACTATCCAAAGTGCTTTGCAGGGGTTGACTTGTTCTAAGCCTCACAATGCCTTTCCAGAGAAGAAGATGGGATCCCAGAGCCCAAACAATTTGTCTAAGGTCTCAGGACCAAGGAGGATCAGAGCCAATTACTAGCCTGTTGTGGCCTAATTGGGGACCCAATGCACTTCCTTGCCCACTCACCATTCTGCACCCTGGCTCCTTCATAGCTCCTTGTATCCATTTGCCGCTTCCAGGGAGCCTTCTGTGAGCACAGCAGCCCACATAGGGCTACACCCAGGGGACCCCAGCCCTGTGACCTGCAGATCAGCAGGCAGCTGGGAGAGAGGGACTTATATTCCTTGGCCAGATTCTGTGGTCCTGGCAGGCACAGTCAAGGCTGCCCAGTGCTGACAGCCGTTAACCTAGATCCAAACAGCTCTGTGTGGCCTCAGGAAGACTACTTCACCTCCCTGAGCCTCAGTCTCTTCATTTGTGCATATGGAAACCACAAAAACATTGAGAGACCTTGTTAATTGTGTGGTTTGGTGACACTGTCTTGTATAGTGTATAGGGCAGTGAGGGCTGGGTATACTTATGTTTGCTATTACTTGGCCCCTGGTGCATGGCTGAGCATGGCTGGGAGACTGCAGGAAGGGGATGAGCCTGCACTAGGGGGTGGTCACCAGTTGGGAAACTTTTAATTTTCCATGGGGTGGAAATGATTGGACCTCAGTTGTGACCAGGCCAGCTCAAGGAAATGCTGGTCCATAAGACAGGGTCAGGGAGGTGCCCTGGATGCAACCCAAGGGAATGTGGGCATGGGTACATAGTTAGTGCTATCCCCTAGGTTTCACCCATGGGCTCTGTCTGTTGGGTGAGAAGGGGCATGGCCCTCTGACTGTCAATGGCCGTGACGGCCATGACACCCTTCTGTGCCACTAAACATGCCATCCTAAGGTCCGGGGCTGGTGTGGCAAAGCCTGCTAAAACGGAGCTGCCTGGCTAGGGGTACCCTAGTGGGTACTCACTGGCTGCCCAACCACTATTATGGTTCTGGCTTCTCCTTGTGGCTATTAGCACCCTTCTGGTACTCAGTAATGTCATCCCCTCCCCCTTGGGAGTTAGAATGGGGCTGTAACCTCTGAGGACCCTATGTCTTAGACCAGGACACCCCCAGTACCCCACTGTTCGGGTGCACTTTAAGCACATTTATGGCTCAGGCCTGAGGAAGCCCAAAATGAGACCCATCGGGTGTGTCATCCATGTGTTCACACAGAGCCTGCGAGTTTCTTGTTTGACACCTGGCTACAGTTCCCCGTGGCCACATGTAGATGTGTGTGGGCATTGAGCTTGTACTGGAAGAGCCAGTGCGGCCCAAGTGTGCCCTCCAGGATCTGCCCTAGGATCCGGGCCTTTGTTTCCCTGGGAGGGCTTTTGGGAGGCACATTTACACGTGTGTCTGTGCTCAGAGTGTGCCCGTTTGTATAGCTATGCACATATGTGTGTGTGTGTGTGTGTGTGTGTGTGACTTGTGTGCACCCAGGGGTGTGGGGAGTCCCTTCTCAGTGCAAGTTATGTGGCTACCTGAGCATCAGTGTGCTGCCTGCACTTGCATTCAGTTCTCCCTGTGTGTGTGTGCACCTCTGAAAAGCAGGTGCCACATTACTGTGTGTGCTTCCTGGGGGCCACTTCCTCTGTAGGCTCTGCATGCACCCCTGCTAGAGCTCTCATTACTGCGTCTGACAATCAGGGGCAGCCCTCACACCTGGATGCCCACTCCCCTGCTGCTCAGTTCACCTTACCCTGGGCTTCCCTGTGAGACCCGACTGCCCCAAGCTTGACATTGGAGGTTGGGTTCCAAGGCCCAGCATCTCTTATCCTTCTCTCCTTTGTCTTTACCCTCCAGGATCCCGGTCCCCCAAGGTTTTCCTATATGAAGACACACTCTATGATCCCAGCAGCCCTTGTAAGACTCTCTAGTTTGGGATGGGGTGGCCCAGTAGGAGGTCAACTCTGCCTTTTTTCAGAATATGCACACTCCCTGGGGTGTCCTCCCTATCTGCTGTCTGTATGAGCAGAGTCTACTCATGACAGCCATCACCTGCTCTGGGAGTTCTCCCTGAGTGTACAGCATCTCCAGGTTCCCTGTACCTTCCCTTTGGACAACCACTGTCCCCACTGTGGTCTAGGGTGACTGTGGATACCATAAGCTACACACACACACACACACACACACACACACCAGCAAATTTGATTGGGTGAGATTTGCATGATTCTTCCCCAACGGATAAGGCCAGCACATGCAGACTCAGGGCAACTGTTCAATATCCTGCTACTTAGGGCTCTGCAGAGAGTCAGGAAATGACGACCCTTTGGGGCCCAGGCATAGCAGCCTGGAGCTAGGGAGCTCCTGGAGGCTCAGAAAAAGAGTCAGAAGGAGCCCATGCAATTCACACATGAGAGCAGGACAGAAGCTTCCAAATTTATCACACATGCATACAGTTGCATGGTGGATGTATATAATGTAGACTTATGCACTGAGGCAGAAGTGTGATACTTATGTCTTTGAATATATGATTTACAGATCTCCAACTTTTACTTAACATTTACCATAGTCTAGGTGGCTCACTACAGATTATCTCACTTATGACCTAGACATTGGGAAACTGAAGTATAGAGAGATTAGGTAACTACTTTAAAGCCCCAAAGCCAATAAGTGATAAGATTGATCCCTGGAAAGCCTGGCTCCCAAGGCCTGTAGTTTTGACTGGAATGAGATATTTCTTTTCCTCATATTTCTGCCCCAAGGCATGTAAGTGGCAGATCCTGGACTTAGGACCACAGAAGTTGCTGCCCAAGAATTGGATCAAGGAGATGAGACTCAATGGCTACTTGTGGGAAACACTCGGAAGGCTGCCTGCATATCCTCCTATGCTCTTATCATATATACGGATGAGATAGCAGGGAGCTGGGCAGCTGTGCTGTGGTTCACAGACAGTGGGCCAGCTGAGGCCATGAAGACTGCTGTGTGGACAGCATTTGCAAAACTATTTGCTGAGTAGTGACTGTGGGCCGGCAGTGTGTTCATGCTCCCTAAGTAACATCTCACACAAACCCCTGCCTAGGGCACCCATTCTACAGAGAACAGTTGGGAGGGAATGGCTTGGAGTCACTCAGGGGGAAAAGGGTGGCATTAGGGTTTCAGCCTGTGCTCCAGTGGTCAGTGACTTAAGTAGGAGCCAGCAGGTGCTGTGTCTACTCACTGGGCAGCTGTGAGGAGCCCTGCCTGGCCCAGCCCTGGGTGGCACACTCCATCCTGCATATGGCACTTAGGAGCAAGTTGAGCCAGTCGTATGTGTCCCCTACGGATTTCAGAACCACCTCACTGCAGCAAGCAGAGCACTCAATAAGAAGAGAGGGTTGGGGGACTCATCACCTCATGGTGGCATTAGGCACAAGTGCAAGGGGGCAGAGTCATTCAGAGTCCTTGGGAGGAAGTGACCTCCCCACCACTGGGCATTCCAGCTGGTGAAGATGACTTGCTAAGGAGCAAATTCTGGCATCGTCGGAGGAGGCAGATGCCATGTGAGCATCTCCAGCCTCCTGCATGTGAGTCTGCAGTCGATTCAGTCCTGGTTTAAAGTCAATCAGACTGCAAGCTTCTCAGGATCAGAGAGTTCCTCAGAGAGGCAACAGCATGGTGAGGAGGTGAATGAGTTGGGGCAGCAGGGAGAACTGAGTTCGAATTCAGACTATCTAAATTGTCAATTTAGCCAGATAACTTAAGTTCAATGCTTTAGAGTTCATTTTACGAAAGTATGCACAGTAATTCCCACCTCATTGGAGGAGTTAAATGGAGTGTCTGGAACATAGTAGGCACTCAGAAAATGCTCATTCCTTTCTCTAAACACATCAAGAACCAAACTGAGGAAGGAGTGGGGAAATGTGAAGATTTTGCAGTATCCCCACATCGAAGTCCATTCTGCTTTGGCAGCACTGAGCTTTGGAGCAATGTGACCTTTATTTACCCAGTGAAAGCTGCCACAGTACCAGGAAGGGTACCAGTCTCTTGCCTCCAAATTGGAGACATATCTACCTCACCCCGCAGCACCACACAGACCAGACAAGTCACTTCTTCCTTCTGAGTCTCCGTCAATGACTGACTTGGGGTGATTGCCCTTGGAAGGTCCCTCCCTGCGGTGTCAGTGACATCTTCTCCACCCCACCCAGTGGTCAGGGGTGTGTTGAGTGCTAACGAGCTGACTTGAGATCCTGTGACATAGGCCCAAATCAGGACAGATGGTAGGAAGAGGGACTGACCTTTGGCACAGATTCTGCAAGCCTAGCATGAGACCAGGGAGCCCAGCCCACCTGTAAAACTGCTTCTCGCTGCCCAGCTGGAAATTCTTGAAGTTGGCAGAGACTGCGTTGCCTTCCCAGTCTTCCATCTCCACACGCAGAGAGTAACTTTTGCTGCTGGTGAGCTGGTGCACCACCTCATTGCCCAGCCAGTGCTCACCAGCTGGGTCTCCAAAGCCCTAGGGGTGAGGGGAGGATGGTGTGGGCTGAGAGACAGGAAGGAGGCTAGGTCTCTTGTCAGATAACTAGCTTAGGTGAGCTCTGAGGCCACTTATCCCAAACCACTGTTCCTAATGATTAGCGTGAGGAGTCTTGGAGACCACCACCTCCCAGAAGAAAGTGAGTAATACATTTGAAAATGTAAAACCCCATTAAAAATAACTGAAATCATGTTTCTCTGAAGTTAAGGAACAGAGAAAATTAACCTGTGGTGATAAAATAGAGAATGGCAACTACCTTTGAGGGACTGTGGACTAGAGGGGACATAAGGAGGATTCTTCAGTGCTGGAAGAGTTGTATGGCTAGCGCTGAGTGGGTCATGTGGGTGAAGACCTATGTGAATTATGGAATCTTACACTTCATATCTGTGCAGTTAACTGTATGAGTGTTAAACCTCAGCTAGATGTTAAAAAAAAAAAAAAAAAAAAAAAAAAAAAAAAAAAGATAAATCAGGCACAGACATGGTACGGTAGACTTTGAGGACCAGGCAGCAAGTACAAAATTTCAGCCACAAAAAAATGTATAGAAAGGAAAGAGCTGTTGGAATGTTTTGTCAACACTGTCTAGGAACAAGAAACCAAACATTCGGGAGAACAATGACAGCACCAAAACAGGGCACATCAAAGCCCGGCTCTCCATGGTGGGACGAGGTGCCTTTTCTGGCTAAGGGTTCATGTCCAGCTTTCTTTTGTGTATTTCTTTTTCTGAGCCCCCAATTTTTCTTTGCCAATGTAATGATTTTTAAAAACTCAGTTGGTTCATGAACATCCATGACTTAATTTGACATTCACGATAAAGTGTTTATCAAATCAAAGGGCAAGCACACACAAATAATAATATTGCTATATGTCCTTGTGAGCATCTTGTCACATTTCTTTTACTTTGGAAAACTTTAAAAGCATTTAAGGCAAAAATGCTTTACTCGAAATTTAGTTTTGAAAATTGGAAGATAATCAGGCTGTATTTCTTACTCATAAAAGGTATGTGGTCTTTGAACCAGGAACTTCACATTAAAGAAATTGTCCCTCAAATGCAGTCACAGATGTATGTAAGGAGAAATAAATTCATTTAAGTAATGCAGCCAGGGGTGGGTGGGTAATATGTCCCTTCAGTTGCTTCCAAAACACACTCATAAATATATGTCCTTTCCAAAGTTTGAAAGAAAATTTAAAATTTCATTACTAGGATGTAAGCCAGAAATTTTAAAATGAGGTTAATTTCAGGGGGTGAGGTCCTGGGAAGCACGTGGTAATGCTGGGCCAATCTGTCTGAGGGTAGGTGGCTTAGTTGAGCTGATTGTCTTTTCTCAGAAAAGGTGAAGGCCAATATGATCCCCTCTCCCTGTCACACCTCAGCACCTGCACAAGGTTTCAGAGCTGCAGAGCCCCTCCCCAGGGCAGCCATGTCACCTGCTTGTATTCCTCCCAGTTCCGCTGGAAATCCACTGAGCCATCCTCACGGCGCTGGATGACGGTCCAGGCACCTCCATCGGTGTCCATCACACAGAACACCTGGGGGAAGAGGGAGCAGCTAGAATCCCTGACACAGCCAGAAGCCAGGTCCAGGGCAGCACAAGGGTGACTTGGCCGATGGATGCCCCCACCCGCAACAGAGCAAAAGGTAGTCAAGGGCATCAGAAAGATCCAGGCTCCAATGTCACATTCATCATCATCATTTCCTAAGATGACAGGGCAGTGATGGTCTCCCAAACCCACTTTCTTCTCAGTTGTAAAATAGGAGCATTCATACCTTAACCTCCTTGTGCCTCAGTTTCCCCTCTGCAAACTGGCATTACAGTGAAACTTAAATGAGATGGATCATGTGAATACTTAGAAGAGAGCCCAGCACACACCAGGAGAGAGGTGAATGAAGGCTTCCCACTCCTTACTATTGCAGGGCTGCTGGGAGGATTAAAGGGGATGGGCACAAAGGGCTTAGCCATGGTGTAGGAGCAGGAAATGCTATTACTGCTGTCCTTCAGGGCACAGTGGTTTGCTGAACACCTACTGCGTGTGAGGCTCTGTTCAAAGCACTGGGGATGCTCACAGGGTGAGACGAAAAGAATTCTTTCTCTCTCAGAGAGCTTAGCATCTATCCCAACTACATCTTTCAGCCTAATAATTATTCTCACTCTATTTTTCCTATCAGTTCAGTACCTGTTCAGTGTTCCATGAATGCAGACTTGGTGCCTGGCCCTGTACTGGATGAATCTTTGATGAATCAGAGAAAAATCAAACCTCAGGATGGCTTGGTGTGGAGGAAGCTATGATAGGGCAGGCAGACGGTGGATTGTGAACATTTGGATGGATAGAAGAAGGAGCCTCAAGAGGTCACTGAACAACCCTGAAAAATTTCCTGAGAGGGTAGCTTCTTCTGAACAGGTCATTGAATGATAGTGTGTCTGTGAAAAAGAGATGAGTGGAATGACATTTCCAAGTGGGAGTGCAGTGGGAAGGAGCAGAGGCTCTGAAGAAGGAAAGGGCAGCTGAGGGAGAGAAGCAGGCACCTGCTATAGAGTGGCATTGTGTGCAGGAGGCTCAGAAGGGAACAGCTTGCTTCGGGCAAGTGAATCAAAGTAAAGCTGAGGGTGAAACCCGAGCTCTTTCCTCCTAGGCCAGCTCTTGTGTCTCCATCAATGTCCCCAACCCTTCTGCATTTACACTTCCTCAATTTCCACCATTACTATATTTACTTAATTTTTCCAAAGCAAATTTACTTTTAAATATGTCATATCTTCTACTAAATAAATAGCAACATAGTTTACAAGCAAATCTTATCAGTACCATCAATGGAAAAGTAGCAACACTTGCCTTTTTCAGATGATTGTAAAAATAAATATAATGAAACAAAACACTCTGAAATCCTAGGTAGAAATTTTTGTCAACACAGAGTTCTCAGCTGATCTATTTGTTTAAAGGGCCCTTTACCAAAAGTGAGAAGTGTGAAAGACACTCTGGGGACAAACAGAGCCTCTCTGTGACACATTCAGAAAGTCGAAAGGAAAGCGCAGAGGGAATTTTGAAGCAGGGCCGCTGGATAGTTGCTCCCTTTCCTTTCCTTTTCTGGCTGCTCCGATCCATACCTGGAACCCAAGCTCTCTTTCAAGGGTTCCCCACCTGATGACTGGACCTATGAGCTTGGGGCCACCTTGGGAGCCACTCACTGAAGATGGTGGTGTCTCCAATGGCCTTAGTCTCTACTTTCCTGCAAAGAATAGAGCCCCAGTTCCTCCCTTCAACCAGAAACAAGCTCCTTTGTGCTGAGCCCCTGGAATTTAGGGTTTACTTCTTGATTCCCCCCTGATCATGACCTCAGTCAGCACAGAGCTCTTTCTCGAAACTCCAGTTGGAGGTCTCTCTGAAAGGTGGCACTGCCCCATGATCTGACCCCTGCCTAGGTGGGGGCTCCACAAGGCAGGACACTCCCACTTGATTGGAATCTCCACTGGTGACAGAGTCTGATGCTTATGGGGGTTCTGTCTCAGCATTTACTGATACACACACACACACACACACACACACACACACACACACACACCACCCCATGCCAGGACCCTGCTTACCCTCCTGGGCTCTTTCACATTGGGCACAAAAATGGTGTAGATATTGTCAACACTGATCCCAGACCTGTGGATGTCCTCACAGTCCTGGAACCCCAGCACAGCTGCCCCTATGGAAGTAGCATTGTGACAAAGCAAAAGTCAGCTAGATATGAGCATTGAGAGGGAAGAGACAGGGCTGGGGATTTAGCTCAGTGGTTCTGCCACCTGCCTCACAAGCACTGGGTCCTGAGTTCGATCCCCAGTACCAAAAAAAAGAGAGAGAGAGAGAGAGAGGGAAGAGACAAAGTGGGCTTGCCTACTTGCATATCCTGGCTGGGGCGATGAAGGGAGTAGGAGATGAGATGAACCAGGCCTGATTCCTAGAGGACGTAGTAGTGAGCTGGAAACAGAACAGTGAGCAGGAGTTCCAAGTGGTGAAGTGCTGATCTCAAAAACCCTAGCTCTGTGGCTCCCATTACAAATATGAACAAGAGTGTGTCCATCTTGAACTGTAGGTCTTTCTAGGCTATCCTCGCTGCACTGCTTTTGTTTTTTAAGCATACTAAGTTATGGAAAACATTTGTTCAGTTGAGATTCTGGGAACACAGCTGGCAGCCAAAGATAACTTAACAGCCAGGTACTTTCAATCTCCCATAGCCCCACTCTTCCTCCCCCTTACCAACCCTGTCCAGCATCCAGTCCTCTCTTCATACTTCTTAAATTAGCCTATTAGAATAGATTATGAATCTTCAATCCAGCCAATGGGGAGGGAAAAAGGTCAGCTATTTCTCATGCATTAGGGATTAAAAAAAAAAAAAACTGTTGCAACCTCCCTGCTTGCCTGCTACCTCATGCTAGAGTGAGTTCGTGCCCTTTTTCAGAATTAAAACCTTGTCCTGTAGAGAGTTTTTGGTGTCTGAATGTTTATTATCCATACTGACAAATTCAGTGTGGGGATACATTCCCAACAGTGGTGGCAGAGCAGAGGTGATAGCATGGTAAAGGCTCCAGGAGGCTGGTCTGGTGTGAGCAGGGAACGGGTGTATGGGAGTTGGGACTGACTCATGCCATGAAAGCGGAGCCTCCGCCAGAGAATGTTCTAGCTGCTTGAGGTAGGGTAAGGCCAACAGAGAGGGTAAATAAGGAAGAGAAGAGAGTAGCCCATTTTAGCAGAGCCAGCTGGCCCTGAGTGCCAGGCTGAGAAACCAGACTGTCTTGCCCAGGAAGAGTACTGTGGTGAGAGTAGGGCTACAGGGGTGGTGCCTCAAAACAGGGAGGCCAAAGAGGAGGTGCCAGGCTCTTCAGAGAGCATAAGGGGAGCCCTCAGTCTAGCAAGGCACTTCCTATTCCACAGGACAGTAGGTTGAGGGCCAAGGGTTCAGGCACCCAGCCATCCTCCCTTCTTGGTACTCACTTGAGCGTGAGGTTTTGGGCTCTCCTCCTAGCTCAACTTCAGCTGTCTTTCCCCGGGCTCAGGGCTATCATGCTCCCTGCCTTGGAGCTGGCCACCAGCCTCAAGGACCCATGTATCTTTGCCTTGAGACAGAGTCTCCATCAGAGGGAAGAACACTTTACAAGCATCTTTCCTAAGTGACAGTGGAAGGCATCTGGGCAATGAGTCCCCCAGTGAACCCATGCGGATACAAGCTCCCATCCACAAGGGTGAGCAGCCAGCCAAAACAGAGACCAGAATAGCTGCACGCCTGCATGAAAAAGTCTCCTGCCTTGTGCTTGAGCTGTGCCACAAACCCCACATGTGGAGCTTCTTCTGTAGCCTCACTGCCAGAGTAGCATACAGGCCCCTGATGGGTTCTGGTCACTCTACATGTACACATCTCATGGTTTGGAAAGCACCCAGTTCTCCTGCCATGGCTTCCTTGGGCCTGCTGGTCTTAGGATAGAGCCACACTGGGATCTCTTCACCAAGTCCCTATCAGCATGGTACCTGGACTCCCATCACTATTGCTGGATTCCTTGTCCTTGAAGGCTCCCGAGCCTCCTATGACCCAGTAGCAGCAGTAGGAGCCTCTCTCTGACCTCCCTCTTATCCAGCCTTTCTCTGCTCCTTAAAAGGGGGCCCTCACTGTCCCACCCATAACATCCCCTGGGCTCAGGGGAAAGTCCCCTCTCCTTAGTACGAGCTCTACCAGAGTTCCTTAGGCCAGCTCCACCACGGAGCTTCATGAACATGGCTAATAGGGAACTTGCACTCAGTAGGCACTTGACAAAGAAGCATTTTCTCCTTCCCTCGGAGGCCTCAGAGGGGCTGAGGACATTTGCAAGAGACCGGTCAGCCTGAGTGCACTGCTGGATCCTTGCGCCCAGCTCTGGGCCTGGTACTCAGTGGGTGAGGAAGCAATGTTGTTGACTGAGTGAAGCTGGAATCAGGAAGTCTTGGCCTCAAAGTGGGCTGTGGTAGCAGCAGTGAGTGAGTGCTGAAGAGAACTACTTGGGCTTTGGGGTAGAGTGTTAGCAGGAGAGACCTTAATTCTATGGTGAAAGTGAGGCCAGGAAGGGGTAGGACAAGCCCAAGCAAGCAGGGCTGAGGGGTGAATTCTGGAACCCTCATTTGTCAGCTGGGCTGCTGCTTTCCTCATTAACACATCACCTCCATGAGGAAACCGAGGCCATGAGTCTGGTGGGTTGGGGCAAGCCCAGGTACCTGTAAAGTCAGGAGACAGAGTCTGGATTTGCTGCTCTTGGGACCATTATTCTGGCCATCATTATTATTATTATTTGCTGTTATTTCTATTGTCCAGATGGCCAGGAGTGTGTGGCCTTTCCCAGAGTGTTCCAGCCCAGAGTGACCCTGGAGATTGAGTAGAGCTCCTTCCTGGCTCCTGCCCTCCTCCCCAGCCTCCTACCCGGCACACCCTACTTGCTCACCTGGCCCCTGCTCTCCCAGGTGCATGAGCTGCTGCAGGTTCTCCAGAAGCTGGCTGTGCTTCTGCTGCAATTGGCTGGAGCTGTTGCTTGCAGTTTGTAGGCTGTGCTGGACGCTGGTCAGGGTGCTGCTCTGGAGGTCCAGCAGCCGCTGCAGCTGCTCCTTCAAGCTGTGGAGGCTAGCCAGCTGGGACTGTTGCTGAGATTCCACAGCTGGGTTCCTGCGGGGCAGGGTGCAGAAGGATAAGCCCCCTATCCAACCCCTCATTCACACCCAAAGAGAGAACCCGGGTGGCGTGTCATTTGGTGTCACATATTCTGCAGTCTGTACTTGTAGTAGACAAGGACTAGGGAGGGGAGTGGTGCGCACTGGGGCACAGTGGAGATCAGAGGTCAGAGGTCAGGCAGCTGGGACACCAGCAACCAGGTAGTCATTGTCTGGCTCCAGAACCCCTGGCTGAGGGACAGGGTTGGGAGAGGGATGTTTTACTCTAGATCTAGGTTTGCAGACCTTTTCTCAGAATCAGAACTAAATCCAGCCAAGGCAGAAGAAATTACTTCCAGGTTCCAAACTATAATTACAAATTGAGCACAATGGAATTCTAGAATTCTAGTTGTCTTCACCAATCAAGAACTTATTAATGTCTTCCATCTCTGTGGATTTTTACACCTGCCCAACTCAGAGTGATTGAAATTGCCCCAGTTCTTGCTGCCTGGACATTTGGGTGGGGGACTAAGATAAGAACTGCTCCAGTAACAGGATGGTCTCTATGTTTGCTCCCTGCAAACAGCACGTGCAAGTAAGAAACAAAAAAAAGCAGTTTTTTTTCGGGAGGTCTTTTATCCTGGAGATGTGACTTAGGTCATGCATCTGAGAAGGTCTCTAAACAAAAGGGATGAAGGTAAATAGTTAATATGGGATTCACTATGCTAACTCTGGAAAGCACTGACAGTTAAGAAGTTACCCCCTGTAGTTTAATCATTTGCTTTTAACCCATTTCCCTCCACCAGGTTAGAACCATCCTCAATTTTAAAAAAAGGAAATGGCTGACAGAGTCCAAATGTTAAAATGTGAAGCTTTTCTGTTAAAAAGGGATGATCTAGTCCTCTCAACTGACACCTGCTTAAATCTGGCCAGCTGCTTATGGAGAGGAGAGGGAGACCCAGAGATACTAGGACATGGTTGCCTGGACATCACAGGACATCAAATTAAACTTAGATCAGACTAAAGAGAGATCTTTCTCATTATGGACTTGGACGTATCTGTGGATGGATCCTCCTGAATCATAGAATGAAAGAGACATCATGAATATACCATTACTAATGGGTAGAAACACTCCTTATGGGAAGGGGGCAGACTATCCAACAGTTGGTCAACAAATGCTGCAAACTATATGCTCTAAATCAGGCTCTAAAGTTTTTTTTAAGGCCAAGAAGGCCTTAAAAAATTCCAAATATGTTGATGGGGTAGTGCATACCTTTGGAAAGATCTGGATGGAGTAAAGTCTCATAAATAGCAAAGGCAAAGAACACAGAGAATTGGTCAAACAAGAACACACTAGAACATCTCCTATTTCCTGAAGAAGTTGCTACAATTCATATAAATGGTCGTCCAAAAAAGGGAGGTGAATGGGGGCAATAGGAAACAGGATTGCCAATAAGGCTGCTGAACAGACATCTCAGGAAGAGGAAATCAGCATGTTAAATCTAACTCCAAATATCCCCAAGGTTATTTGTTAACTCAAAATATCCCCAGTTCACCAGGGAACAGAAAAAAAGAATTAGATAAGATTGGGGCCATATAGACTGAGGATCAAAGATGGAGGTTACTCCCTGGGAGGAGGTGATAAAGTAAACCTACAATGAGAGAACTAATGCTTATACTTCATTAAGGAAGTTACTGGGGGCCCCAGTCTATGTGTGATGCACTACTTAGAAACTTAGGAATTTATACTTTTGCTAAACAGGTTTGTGGAAGTTATAAACATGTCAGAGAATAAATAAGCATGTAGATTAGACTAATTGCATTTATCATAATTAGCAACTACATTTATTATAATCGATCAACTACACCAGGAATGCCCCATAGGAGTAATCAACCAGCTAACTAGATCTAGTAGTTTGGTCTAGGAAAACAGGACTGCTGAGGATATGATTCTAGCTGAAGGGGGCAGTCATGTTAGGAGGACAATGTCTCACCTTTATTCCTAGTAATACAGCTCCAGATGGGACTAATACTAAGGCCATGCAAGGACTCACAACTCTAGACAATGAATTCTCAGAAAAGAGGAATAGATGATCTATTTACAGACTGGCTAGAAAAAATAGTTTGGAAAATGGAAGCAGATGATTACATCAATATTAACATCCATGATAATAGTGACAGGAGGTCTAACCTTCCTAGGATGTTATATCATCCTGTGTGTAAGGGGACTAACTCAGCGACTGAGACAGGTCTAACCAGACACCCATATCTCATCAACAAAACAACCTATTATTGCTGGATCTGGACCAAATTATGAAACAGTCTCTGCAAATTCTACAGCACTTTGAAAATCAGCAAATGTTAATCTGAGATGAAAATGGGACCAAATATGATAAAAGCAAAGAAGGTGGAATTTGTAAAAAACAAAGAAGTGATATAGTCAGGAGGAGTTTTGGCCTGAGGACATGACTTAGGTCAGTGATGGCAAACCTTTCACCACTTTCAATGATAAAAAGAGGCTGCTGTGACACACATTCCATAAGGCCAACACTGACTTAGCTTGTGCATCTGAGAAGGTCTCTAAACTAATGGGGTGTGTGGAGGGTAAATAGTTAAGTATGGAATTCACTATGTAATTCTGGAAATGCAGTGGAAGTTAAGAAGTTACCTCCTTCATTTGCTTTCAAAAACCCATGAACTGTTTACAGACAAAGCGGGGTATAAGAGTTAGGCACCTACCCGGCAGAGTATAAACCCTAAGTACTTAGACAGTGAGGAACAGGAAAGGGAATTGCACCTTGAGGTTTATATCACTCTTTGTGACCACTCTGATCATGTCAATATTTGTTGAATTGGCACCTCATTCTTGAAAGATCAAATATTAAAAACTCTTGCTTTTATTGCTCACAGTCCTCGCTCTGATCTGTGCCTTGTATGCAATCAAAGACAAAAGGGTTTTGTTCCACACAGAAGCAATAACATCACCCTGTTGATTGTTGGCAAGGTTGTTTACTGAGTAGAATTTGCTTACAAGAACCCTGGCCTTGGCACTTTGTTCTCCATTCAGCTATAAAATAAGATAAAATCTGCCCAGGGTGTCAGATTTCTCTACTTATTTATACCCATGGCCATTTTTTCTTTGTAAGTTAAAGAGTCATGATGCAGATTTGCATATAATGAAGGGCCTTTGACTTTGCAGACTAGAAATTGATCACTGTGGTATCCTCAGGGAAGGGAATGAGTGGACTGGATCAGGTTTATTTATTTATTTGCAAATCAGTAAGGCCAAATAAAATCTACAAGGTGAATTGTATGGTGTATAAATTGTATCTTAATAAAACAGTTAAAGTTTAAAATATAAAGAGAGGAAGAGGGGACAAAACAGAGAGAATCAAGGTATCCCAAGCCCTAAGAACATGCCCGTCTGTGTCCCCACTCAACACTTGGGGACTTGCCCTGGACCTGTGTGCCTCCCAGCTTAGCCCCAGCACAGTCCCCTTCCCCACTCTTCTCCCAGATCTTCTGGACTCCAAGCCTGACTCCAGTTCTTAACAGTCCTGGCCCAGGCTGAGCTTCAGCCCCAGCTCCCACAGTGGTCCCTTGCCCCGGTCATAATCCAGGCCCAAGTCCCAACCTAGACACTGGCCCAGGTCCAGCTGCCAGCTCCATCCCAATCCACACCTGGAATTTGGGTTCAAAACTCAAGTTTTGGGGGCTCAGCCCCTGTTGCTCAGAGATCAGGTGCTAGGGCCCACCTGCTGTGGCCATGCAATACATGTGGCTCATGGCTCTGCTTCTCCAGCTTGTTGGTGGTCTGCAAAGCCTCCAGCATCTGGCACTTCATGTGTGACATCTGTTTCAGGACCTGTACCAGGGAACAGGAGGGTGGAGGCTGTATGTGTTTCACAGTTGCCATCTCTGCCAGTTGCCATCAGCCCACCCACTGGCCTGTCACTGCTGATATTTGCACTCCAAGACCCTCCAAATCCTTACTCCGTGTGGTCACTCATGCACTTATTCACACTCAGGTCCTGCCTGAGCACATGATCTGCTTCCTGAATTGGCCCCCATCACTGCCCATGACAGCTCCAGTCCTCTTGCTCTCGGGCCCCAGGAGGATCAGCGAGTGCTGTCATCTACCCCTTCCGAATGGTCCCTGACCTCTTCCCTCCATGGCCCTTGCCTCTGTCCTCTCTTGCCCAGTGTCCCATAGTGCTGTCCTCACAGGGCTCCCTGGCTCACCTCTGTCCCCTCTAGTCCCTTCCTTCTCTATAGCCCGAGGAAGCCTTTCCAAATGTGTCTCCTCTGCTCACAGTTCCACTGTTGCTCCTCCTGTCCTCACCATAGCTTGCTTGGCTCATGACTCAGTCTGCCTCTGTCACCTCTCTGGCCCCACCTGCTGCTTTCCTCTGGTCACTTCAGCATGCTGGTGTCCGTACAATCCTGGAGCTGCCCCCATCTCCCACCTCCTGCCTTTGTGTCCGTTCTTCTCCAGTAGGCACACATTGCACACTGCCCACTGAGCTGGGCTTTAGAGCTGCTCCCCAGTGGTCCCTCCTGGCCTTGCAGCATCACTGGCAGCTTTGTCCCACCCACCCCGTGTAGCACTTTGCCATCTTGCTCTCTTCTCTTGCACAGTCACCATGTAAGCTGCATGATCCTTATCCGGTTTGCTTTCTTGATAAGCTCAATGGGTTACAATCATGTGTTTGTCCTGTTTGGAAGTGGGACCAGGTATCTGGAATGGGGCCTGGCACACAGTGGGGTTCAGCAAACCTGTGCCCACTTGTCACTCACTTGCACATCCATTCACTTCCTCTGTTCCCTCCTTCCTAATGCTCAGGGAGTCCTTGGCCTTGAGGCCCAAAGGATTCTTCATCGCCTGCCTTCGCCATGCACCTAAAATCCCAGGAGGAGCAATGTGTGCTCTTTGTCTCTGGTGCTCAGCTCAGTCCAGGCACTGCACTAACATAGACCAAAAAGCCAGGTGAGGCCCATGACAGCCCAACCCCACAGGACCCACAGCCCATGGGGCAGTAGTGATGGAATTGGGTCCCTAAGGAGGGGTGCCAAGGGCCTATGACCCCAAAGAGGGCTTGACCTAAAGCAGGACAGAACTCAAGGCAGGACACCAGCCTGGCCACCCACCCACGTGCTCCCCATTACCTGAGCCTCCATGTCGGTCAGCTTGAGGGTCTGGGCTGTGGTCTGGTTCAGGAGGCTGGTGCCCAGCTCCAGCAGGGGGGCCACGTGCTTCTGGACTATGTTTTGCTGGGCCTGCTGCAGCTCCAACCCAAAGATGGCCTGGATATACTCCTGCAGCTGCAGGGACACAGTGGACTGGGTCATGGACAGGGGTCGGGATAGCCTCTGTCCCTCCCGTGCCTCCATGCCAAGCCACAGAGAAGCGAGGGGCTCAGAATGTGACAGGTCAGGCCACCACCATCCCTGGCCTGGACTATCCTCAAAGGTATCTTCGTGTTCCTGGGTTTCTACCATTCTCCATTTCATAGCCAGAAAGATCCTGTTAAATTTAAATGAAGCCACATCCTCTTTGCTCAAAATCATCCCAGGGTTCTTATCGCACTCAGAGGAAAAGCTAAATTTTGCGTACGACAGCAGACTCCTCCATGCCCGGCCCTCCTACTACCACACTCATTCCCTCTCTTTTCCCTCCTTTCCATGTATAACACCTCTAGAACACCACGCAGAAACCCTGAGCTCACCTCAGGCCTTTGCACATGATGTTTCCTATAGAAACTTCCCCTCAAACACCTAGCCCCATCCACATGGCCCAGTTCCTCTTCTCATTTCAGATCTCTTTGTATAGTTACCACTCTCTGAATTCATGCCAAGTATCTGTCTGTTGTCTTTCTTGCCTTCTAGAATGTCAAGAGCATGAAACTTGGGTCTTCGTTTCAATCACCACTTTCTGTCTACCACAGTGCCTGGTACACAGCAGAATATTTTTTCATCAATCTATCAGTTTTATTGGTACATTTTAGGTATACAGTTTAATCACATTCATCATTGGAAATTTGTACCTTTACATAATATGTATATCTTGGATCTTAGTTTTTCACCATTTACCTGTCCTCCCTTGAACCCCTCCAACCCTCCCTATTTACAGAGACTCTGTTTCCATTTTTTCATTTTCTCATATTAATTCCATTTACTTCTTTCCTTTCCCCTCCTTCTCCCATTTCCCCTTCCCTTTTGCACCTCTTCTGCCTATTTCACATTATCTGTTGTATCTTTTGATCCTTATTTACACTTTCAGTTTCTCATATGAAACAAACTTTTTGGAATTTACAAGTGTGTCCTATTTACTTTGCTTAAGAAAACATCAACGTGCATCCATTTAGCTGTAAAACTTCTCATTCTTTGCGGCTGAGTAGTACTCTGTTTTATTAAAAAAAATGTTTTCTCTATCCAGTCTCCAGTTGATGGGCAACTGGGATGATTCCAAGTTTTTGCTCTTATAAACTGTGCTACTATGAACACAGGCGCACATATATCACTGCAGTATGATTCTTTTAATTTTGGGGGAAAGACACCCAGCAGTACAACAGCTGGGTAAAATGGGAACTCTAATTCTAGTTTTCTGAGGTATCTCTATACTGATTTCCACAGTGGTTGCACCAGTCTCTACTCCCACCAACAATGAAGAAGGGTTCCTTTCTTCCCACAACCCTGCCAACATTTGTTATTGGTTGACTTCTTGATAGCAGCCATTCTTTCTGGGGTGAGGTGGAATCTCAGCATTGTTTTCATTTGCATCTATCCAATGACCAGTGGTGTTGAACATTTTTCATATGTTTATATGCTATTTCTAATTCTTTGTCTGAGAAATGTCTATTCATTTCAGATGCCCATTTTTTATTGGGTCTTTAAATTTGGGAGGGATAATTTTTTTAAAGTTCTTTATATATTCTAGACAGTAGAACTTTGTCTAAGCAACAACTGGTAAAATTTTTTTCCCTCATTGTGGGTTGTCTCTTCACTCTATTGCTGGGTACCCTTGCTGTACAGAAGGTTTTAAATAAGAAGAGATCCCATTTGTTGATTCTTTTGCTAGTACCTGTGCAACTGAGGTTTTATTCTTGAAATATTTTCCAACACCAATCAATGTCTTTAAGAGTTCTACATAACCTCTCTTCCAGCCAGTCTAGTGTTTCTGTTTTAATATTTATATATTTAATTCATTTTGATTTTAGTTTAGTGCATGATGACAGATATAGGTCTAGTTTTAATCTTTGGCAAGTTGAAGCCCGATTTTTTTCAGTACTACTTATTGAAGAGGTTATCTTTCCTCTGGTGAGGATTTTTGGCTCCTGTCAAAGATCAGTGGGGGAGTGTGTCTGGAGTTGTTTCTGCATCTTCTAATCTGTTCCACTGGTCCTCGGGTCTGTTTTTTTTGCCAGTACTATGTTGTTTTCCTCACAGAGCTTTATAGTATATTTTCAAGGTGGGCATTGTGATACCCCCTACCTTGTCTTTATTGCCTAGAACTGCTTTTGCTATTCTACGTCTCTTCTTGTTCCAAATGAATTTTTGATTGTTTTCCCAAGTTCTGTGAAGTATGATGCTGGGATTTCAATTGGGATTGCATTGAATCTAAACAGCAGTTTTGGAAGTATGGCCACTATATTAGTTCTTCCTACGTAGGAGCAGGGAATGTCTTTCCATTTTCTGATATCCTTTTGGATCTCTTTTTTCAGAGTGTTATAGTTTTCAGAGTAGAGGTCTTTGATATATTTTGCTAGGTTGATTCCTAGGTATTTTATTCTTGGGGGATGTTATTGTAAAAAGAGTTGTTTCTCCAGGTCCTCTCTCAGTAAGTCTGTTGTTTGTGTACAGGAAAGCTATTGATTTTTGTGTATTAACCTTGTATTCAGCTACTCTACTGAATTTGGTTATTATGTCTAGAAGACTTTTGGTGGAGTTATTGGGGTCTTCTTATAGAACGTAATGTTGCCTACAAATAATGACAATTTACCTTCTTAATTTCCTACCTTTATTGTTTTTATTTCTTTCTCTTGTCTAATTGCTATGGCTAATGATTCCAAAAAACTATACTGAACAGGAGTGGTGATAGAGGACATCCTTATCTTGTTCCTGATTTTAGTATGAAGGATTTCAGTTTTTGACCATTTAGTATGAAATTGGCTGTTGGTTTTTCACAGATGGCTTTATCAGGTTGAATTAAAAACCATCTATCCCAATTTTCAGTAGGGTTTTTATCATAAATGTGTGTTGGATTTTGTTGAGTGCTTTTCCCTCCATCTACTGATATATGGCTTTGGTCCTTGGCTTTATTTATATAGTGTATTACATTTATTGATTTGTGTATATTGAACCCTACATCCCTGGGATGAATCCCACTTGGTCAGGGTGTATAATCATCTTGATCATCTTCTGTATTCTCTTAGCCAGTATCTTATTAAGGATTTTTGCATCCATGTTCATTGGTGAGATTGCCCTATAGTTCTCTTTTTTGGTTTGTCTTTTTCTGTTTTGGGGAATCAAAGAATGCTTGTTTCCAGGAATAAATTTGGGAGCATTACTTCCTTTTCAATTTCATTGAAGAGTTTAAACAGTAGTGACAATAGTTCTTCTCTAAATGTCTTGTAGAACAGAACATGTTTAAGTAAGTGAAAAGGAATTGAAGTTATCCCTTGTATATTATCAGACCATAGTGTGCTGAAATTGGAAATTAATGGCAAAAGAAACTGCAAGAATTTCATAAACATATCGAAAGTGAACAACACACTTCTGAATAATCAATGGATCACAGAGGAAATCACAGAGTTTCTACAATTAAATGACAATGTCAATACAACATATTGGAATCTGTGGGACATAATAAAAACATTGTTTTAAATGAAATTTATAGCTGTAAATACTCATATTAGGAAAATAGAGCAAGCTCAAATAAACAACCTGATGCTGAACTTTAAGCTTCTAGAAAAAGAAGAGCAGGACAAACCCAGAGCTATTACAAGGGAGGAAATTATAAAGATCAGAGCAACAATCAATACAATGGAGGTTAAGAACACAGTACAAAAAGTCAGTGAAGCAAAGAGTTGGTTCTTGGAAAGAATGAACAGAATTGACAAACCCTTAGCCAACCTTATCAGAAAAAGGAAAGAAAAGGCCCAAATCCTTGCAATTAGAAATGAAAAGGGTGAGAGTACAATAGACCCAGCAGAAATCCAGAGGATCATCAATACCTACTTTGAGAACCTGTATGCCAATAAGAAGGAAAACACAGATGAAATAGACAGATTCCTAGAGGCATGTGAAGTTCCAAAGTTGAACAAAGAAAACCTAAAAATTCTAAACAACCCAATATCAATCAACAAAATTGAAAACGTAGCTAAAAACTTACCGATGAAGAAAAGCCAGGTTCCTGGTGGCTTCACAGATTTCAATGAATTGATTAAAAAAGGAGAGCAGTAAGGCTCAGAACACAAGCCCCATGTCATGACTTGTGGCATCCAGAGGCTGTGACTCAGCAGTGAGTAGGAACGCACCATTCACTCACACAGTAACACGGGAAAATCTCAGCTACGCCACACTGAGTGAAATAAGCCAGACTCAGAGGGCTGCACCCTGCAGGATTGCACTTCTTTGACTTTCTGGGAAAGTTGGAACCTGTGGTTGCCAGGGACTGAGGTCTAGGAGGGGGATTGACTGTAAAGGGACACAGGCAGCTTCAGCCATGTCCTATACCATGCGTGTGGGTAGCTACAGCACTGTATGTGTTTGTCCAAATTCAGAACTGTAGGTGAAAAGGGTGACTTTACCCTGTATGGAATATACCTTAAGAAATAAAAAGACCAACCACTCAGAATTCTAGAAAATTCCCATATACAAATATCCCACAACATAAAATATGTTACTGTAAACTAGTGCCCTTACCCTGACTTTCTTTGTGTATCAGTTCAGGAGTTATTTCTTGAGCACCCACCATACGCAAGGCTCTGACTAAAGAGCCAGGAATTTTTTTAAAAACTGGCAAGATTTTCTGATTCCGGAGTCTTTCGGCTAAATGTCACTTAGATTTCAGTAGTGACAAGTGCTCTGAAGAACATGAGCCAGGCCATGAGTAAATGGGCGTGTGCAGGTTTAGCCTGGATTTAAACAACCCAGAAACCACAGTGGCAAGAGGGGCTTCCCACTCCCCATGGAGAACACTCTCACCTCCCTTCTGCAGGACTGCCCAGTCTGTCTGCTGCTTAAAACATTCAGTCCTCACCCTGCACCCTGCAGTCACCACCTTGACTGTCCTGGGCCCCATCCTCTACCCTTGGCAGCTCCTACTTAGAGGCCTCAGCCAGCTGTACCTGGACTCCATGGCCATCTCCATGCCCTGTTGAATCTGCCTCCCTTGACTCTGCCTTCCTGGGTCACAGAGAAGGTGCTCAGTGTCTCCTGAAGGGCAGGGACAGGGACAGGATTCTTCACCGCCCTGGCCTTGGCTCACACTGCCGCGGCCCTGACTACTGTTCTTTGCCTCCCTGTGGCCTGATTCATCAGCACAGATGATTCACTCCCTGCAGAATCACTCCCTCTGTCCTCTCCAGCCCCAAGCTGCTCAGGCCTCCTCCACATGCCTGGTGGCTTCAGTGGCCACAGGGCTTCCTCCTGGGCCCCTAGGGTCCACCTGTCCCACACACCCCATGCCATTAAATCCAAAGCAGTGGTGCTGCTACCACTCAAAACTCTTCTGTGGCTGTTACGACACTCAGGGCAAAAGTCAGTCCTCACTGTGGCCTGTGAAGCCTTTATGGCCAGCCCTGCCCTCACCTCTAGAATTCAAGCTGCTCCTTCTGCTCCAGATTGCTGCCCACCTCACTGTCCACATATATGTGGCTGTGTTCTGACCTGGTAGCTTTGGCACTTTTGGGTCCCTCGGTGGAAACCTGACACAGATGTTTGTGTCACTTGTCCTCTGGGGTCAGAGACCATCTCCTCCGTGACACCCTCACAAATGATCTGACCACAGCTTGCCCTCCTCTCCTTCTTCCCTTTGCATCACCCTCTGATGCAGATCCCTCCTGTCTGCTCACCTAGGAGGGGCCTCGTCCATGCTCAGCCTGAGTGCATGGCTGTGAAGAGCTAGCTTCCTTGTTCCAATGTTTCCCAGTCCTGCTGTGTGGCACCAAGTTTATCCCTGCCTCTCTTGGGCCTCATATTCCAATTTTTATGCCTTAAAGCCCAGCCCACTGTGTCCGGTGAGGCCTCTGGGTGCACATTCCATCTGCTGATGGTAACCACCCTGAAGCTTTCTGTACTTCACAGGCCTGGCCATACCTTCTGCCGCCTTGGTGCACTGATCTTCAGCTTGCTCTTCTGCTGTTCCATCCAGCTGCCATCCCTGGGTGGCAGGTTCCTCTGCTCACTGACAACCTGCAGCCCACTTCCTTGGGCTGCAGTCATGGTGCCCACCAGGAGGAGGAGGAGGCTTCCTAGCAGCATGGCTGGCCAGGACAGTATCCAGACACGTGGCAAAGGAGCAAGGGGTCTGCTCAGTTCCCACACTGCTGTGTCCTCAGGGAGATAGGTCTTCAGAGCCGCTGCGCTACAAACCCCTGCATGGCCAGCTCCATCTATGGCTATTTATACTGCAAGTCCTTCACCTGCGGGGGCTACTGGCCTCTGCTCCAACCCCAGGCTGCCCCTGACCTCTGGGCCCTGGTCCCTTCCTTCTTCTCCGTCTTGCCCCCAAGCAGTCACTTGAGCTTCTCTGTCTGCGTTGCCCCTTAGGCTTGTAACTGTCCGGCGGGCCTGAGCAGTGAAAAGACATCATGTGGAACATGCACACAGCACATGCGCAAGTCCCACAGCTTCAAACCAGGGCATCTACGCTCCCTTCCTGTCCCCATCTCTGCGTCTCTCCTGTCAGCCCTGCTCTCCAAGGCCAGGTTCTAAAGTGTCATCTCCCAGAATCCCCCTTTTCAGGTTCCCTGCCACCTTGCGACAGGGGCAGATGACCACTGGAGAGCATGGGAAGGTGGGGGAAGCTGTGTTCCTGGAGATTCAGAGAATGGGTGTGCCAGCGAGGAGATGGCTCCTGTCCCCACTTCTCCCTGAGGGCCTGGAGGGGCCTCGTGCCCTGGGGTGGCCCTGGACAGGTTGCTGTGACAGTGATGAGAAGTTTTCATGTCCTGGGGTAGGTTGTCTGTAGGCTAGACTGGGATGGTGGGTCATGGGGAGGAGAGCTGGGGTGCAGAATGATCTTGGTCAGACTCTGCCCCCCATGGGTCCTAAATCCTGCAACCCCTGGGAATGTCTGCTTGGGGGCAGGATGCAGAGGAAGGCCCGGGAGTTCTCAGTGGGTTGCTACACCTCTCTGGGCCTCCACCTGTAATCTGTAAACCTGGGGAGCCCTCTTCTCCAGTCTGAGGACCACATGTGGGTCCTCAGCATGGGGACCGAGGCATTTCTACTTTGCTCTTATCTATGTGGCTCGTACCAGCTGAGTGACTTTGGGAGAGTCAGGTACCCTCGCTAATCCTTGGCTTCTTTTTTTTTTTTTTTTTTTTT